TGCCCATACATAAGCCATTAACTAGACCCGCAATAATGGGCAATGCAGAGTATGAGTATGTTTAATTTTAATGCGTGCAACGACAAGATTAAAACTATATAATAATTTATAATAAAATTATATTAAATTGACATGATGGCAAACATGGCAATATCAATATTTCTTTTTCACTTACTTAATTCACTTTGTTTTGTTATCTAAATTCTACAATATTTAAATTTTTGTGTGGCTAGCATTGTAGCTAGTGGTAAGTCCAGCAATGTCTTCCAAGGTATATAGTATAGTATAGGTCATCTAAAGTGTCATTATATTATAAATTATAGTTATTTCAAAACCAAAGTCACGCATGGCGCATAGTTCCATGACCATGTTCAAACGATTTTTAAAAAAAAAATCCTTTATATTAACTTCGCTTTTGTTTCTGTGTTGTTGGCTGGCAAAATCTTTGGATGGCTAATTGACCCACTTCCCATCAACCTATCGAGCTGTAACTTGACATTCATATAGTATAGTCTCATTGCCAATTGCAACACATTCTATCAAATTTTCGGCTCTAAACTAGTCTTCGCCCCAACCCCTAAAAATCAGTTTTTCCTGTTTTCCAAGGGAAAATGAAGAAAGTATGATGCCACCGATTTCACGATTTGCGTTGAATGAGATTTTAAAAAAAACCATCACAAGTGTGTTTGCTGCATAATATTTTCTTTTGTTTTTCAGAAAAATTGTTTTCTGAAATATTTGGTGAAATAAATCTGCAGTGTAAAAGTGGGTGGAACACTGGAATATTAAAAAAAATAAAAATAAATAAAAAATGCATTAAATGATTTATAAACAATGTTGTTTTTTTTTTAAGGGTTGTTTAATTAGCTCTGTATTTATTTGTTATAAGTTTATATTACCGGTATTTATTTATTGTAAGTATATAATATTTTAGTTTTGTTTTCTATTTTTTATTTGTCTTGAAAGTGGGGTAGAGGTACTGGAGTAAAATTAAATTATGGACAAAATGAAATACCAGTAGTATTAATGGGCATATCTTATCAATCCTAGTGGTGGGCAACCTTTTCTGTGCAATGGGCAACTGGCAAAGAGGAAATAAAAATACAATTTTGAACCTAACCTAGTACTGGAAAAAAATGTCCAAGTCTCAGACTGAGATAACATCACAAGTAAATACGTTTTAAATGATTAAAAACGCTCCGCTTGAGATGCTTGGATTTGTAATAATTTTTGTAATTCTTGATATTCCAGTAAATATTAGTTACCTGTACTTATATGTTATAAAAATTTCTTTCAAAATGTTTAATCAAGGGTCCTGGGTGACAGAGTGGTCTAAACTGACTCACTCCAAATAGTGTTGGTCTGGAGTTCATTCCCGCCAAAATCCAAAGTACCCCGGGTGGATGGGATTCGTTAGCCTTGGAAGGCAACTCATCTAAGAGAAGGCCAACTCTGAATTCAAATCAGGAACCAAAATTATCAATAAATTGATTGTGGGCCCCTCAAATATGAAAAAACCCAAAAATTCTGGACTTAAATTATTGCTTAAATTGCCTTCGTTTAAAATTACTTTAAATTATATTTTATATATCAATAATTGAACAAATCTGTTGGATATTTATTGGAATATACATAAAGGGCTCAAGGGAAAAACCAGTGATGTCAGGTTTTGAGAGTTTTGAGAAAATTGAATTTAAAGTTTGAAAATTCCTCAAAAAAAGTGTGAAAATTTCAAGATGTCTACATATTTATTTATTGACTACGCTGCTTTTTCGGTTGGACCTATGTATCATATTATTCTATTAAATGGAATGTAGCCACAAGGGAGATAAAGTAGAAATTTTGAAAAACTGACATCACTGGTTTTTCCCTTGAACCCTTCACATGGATTTTTATTGCACACCTAAGAATTACCATATACTCAATGATCAATAGAACATTCATGTATTGAAACAAGTATAGGACAGGTATATGTTACTATAGCATAGGAAGAACATTGCCAGCAGAAAATTATATTTTGTAAATAAATAACTATTTCTTATTTGTTTTCTTCAAAGATAATTGAAAGAAAAGAAAAATTTTTGATCTAGTAAAAATGACAACCACCAATGATTCCAGCATGTCAACATTTACTAATGGATCAGACATGTCAACAGATGTCATTTCCTTGTCATCAGATGACACATCCTGTAAGAAATCAGAGACTATAACTAATGATATCTGTGCCTCAACAGGAGATGTTGTCACCCACTCCTCTGATAGAACAACCATTTCCCAAAGTAGGACCCAAACCGAAGATTCCTGCATGTCAATAAATGTCATGCCCATGTCATTCAATGCTAAAAAAAGCAACAAAAAAAAGACCTGTAAACACTTTAATGCTTATGTCAGTAAATTTACTTCAGACGAAGGCTTCCCTTTTACAATGGGTTATGTTTACAATACCTATACAACTTTGGGGAATAGCATTTCCAAAACTTCAGAGCTACTGTTGGCAAACTTGAAGGCCAAGGGACATGATTGTACACCAATCTCTGTCCATTCTGCTCTAAATCGCTTTGTGCGCAACATTACGATGTACAAGAAAGATAAAAGTAAGAACTGGTTTCGGATTAAATCATATCTCAATGAGTGGTTCAGGGTGCCTCAAAGGAAAACTAAAAAACCCACCTTGGCTGTTGTCACTGATGACCCCACTCTGCTTAGTGGAGATGATGTAAACCAGGAGAAAGCGATAGCCATGGAACCAGAAATACGGCTCAAAACAGATTGTGAAAAGTGCCCTGCTATAAGACAATCTTACAGGAAAGCCATTGCCGAATTTAAGGATAAACTCAGAGCCTCAAAGCTGACGATCAGGGAAATGTCTAAACGTTTCGATGTCAAGCGTGTGAATCAGGACATCAAGAGGAAAGTTGCTTCGAGACTCAAGTTAAGAGAGAAAATCCAGGCCTTAAGGAAAGAGAATTTGAGCCTGAAAAAAGAAGTGGAAAACTTAAAGATTGTTGTTGAAAGAGACTATGGGGCTATTGCAAGAGCTGAAAAAAGGAAAAGAAAGAGAACAGAGCTGGAACTGACCCAAACAATAATGAAAAATAAAAATTTGAAAAAAGAGAACAAATTGCAAAATGAAAAGATTATAGAACTAGATTATGAAATTGACTGCCTCAGAACTGAAGAGAATTCATCTTAGTTCCTTCATTTCAAATTGTGCAGAAAAAAAAAAAACATTAAAATTAAAGAAAAAACAAATAAACAACCCATGAATTGTCTCTAATCTCACTAAAAAGCTATTTTGCCAACGCCATAAATTTGTATTTTCAGTAATTCCAATTATAGTAATAGTTTTGACAGTTAATTGTGAAAAGAATTAAGTTCCTTATTCTAGTCTAATTATTGGTATTAGTAGGAATGATGCAATTGATTTTAAAAAAAATTGTAGTCAAGCAATCAGTTGTGCAGAAAGTGAAAAAACAACTGGTTGCCTGAACCCAAGTTTACCATTTTAATTGTAATCATTATATTTTCATATTTTGTTGATTACTTTCTTCAACAACCTCTGTCATGTGTACCTATATCATTTTTGAAGTTTTTATAAAATTGATTTTTGAGTTTGGTGATTTTGTAAAATTGATGTTTGAGTTTGTTGTTTTAATAAAATTGTTAAATATAATATAATATTTAATATGTGCTCAAATTTTTACCTAAGATAAAAATAAATCCCTTATTTTTATTACTGGTACCATAATTTTTAATTAAAATTTAAAAAAGAAAATGTCTAATCAGTGATGATGACCCTATTTGACGCATATAACTATTAATGCTGATAAAAGAAGTTAAATTTTTCAAGGCATAAAAATTAATGCTCATATTATAATGTGGGGTCACTTCTTCAACTTCAAGGTACCGGTCTAATTTTGATAAAAACTAAAATGCCACAATCCTTCGCATGCAGGAGTGCGTAGACGACGTGGCTTCCAATATCCTCTCGCATCAAGTATAAGTCTGCCAATCTATGCTTCAACTCTTTCACTGACCCTCACTTTCCTGTCTATCTCTCTGAACTGTTGCTTCCTTACATCCCCACAAGACAACTACGCTCTTCAACTGACAATAGAACCCTCTCAATCCCAAAAACCAAAACTAAGACCATCGGTGAATGCTCCTTCTACTTCCATGCGCCCACGTTCTGGAACCAGCTCCCCTTCCACATCCGTCATTGTGAAACCTCGTCCACTTTCAAATAGTCTTATAAAACCCATCTGTTTAGGTCCGCCTATGACCTGTGATGCACCCTCGTTGCCCTGCCTCATTTTCTGTCTCGGGTTGATCCTGTATTTAAGTATATGACAAAACGTGCTAAGTGTGTTTGTTTTTATAGCCATTTTAATGTTTTAGCTACTGTTTTTATAGTAAGTTTTCACATAGTAGTTACTATTCTAGTGTCTCTGGTTTTTCATTTTTATTTGCTTTAGCAGTTTAAATAGTTTACATATTTTTAATAATTGTAAAGTGGTTAGAGCTTAAGGTAAGCACTAAAATAAATGCCTAAATAAATCAATAAAATATATATATGTATATATATATAAATATATAAAATATATATAAATATATAAAATATATATAAATATATAAAATATATATGATACCTGGTAAGATAAATTACCTATTTTAAAAGGCAAATAATTCATAGGGGGTTGCAGAATATAGAAAAAGGTTTGGAACCCTGTTCTTGGCACATCATTTTAATTCATTACACATATTTGCAATGATTGAATTTGCCACTGAGAATCAGAGCTGAAGTGCATGGAAACTTTTAAGTGACATGGTGATTAATAACTTTATGAAGTAGATTTGTAATTTGTAGCATCTGAGGTTCTAAATCTCACATATGTAATGTATTTCCTTAAACACCTAGATGATTAAGTCACAGTTAAACATTTCTATCAGAAGAACTTCCCTTACACATTTTAAAAATAATTATTCAACAAGCTGTATTTGAGATATACTTATACATGTTTTATTTATGTACAAATGATCAAAAACAATATTTTAGATAGTCTAAAAATGATGCCCTCTTCTTTTTCTGCCTGTGTATTGTGTGTCTGGTTTTGTTTCTCTGCAATGAAAGAAATTTGAATAATTCATCAAATAATTTATTCATTTTAAAAAAACAACACATGACATAAAATAAAAACATAGCGGTACATGAAGTAATGGTTGGTCAACGAGGATTGCTCTAATCATTCTATTGTTGCTGGGCCTGGTTCTGTCTATGGGCAGATGGCTGATGAGACTAACTCAAAGGCACAAAATAAACAGTTGTACACAGGGGAATTGTTTTATCAAAAATTTTTCTTGAAAGAGAATAAAAGTTTAGAAACAATTACTGTTCCATAACTAATCTGTAACAAATAAAAATTTCCTTGCTTCTGTCACTGCAAACAAAGCAGTTCATTTTCCTTGCTTCTGTCACTGCAAACAAAGCAGTTCATTTTCCTTGCTTCTGTCACTGCAAACAAAGCAGTTCATTTTCCTTGCTTCTGTCACTGCAAACAACTGTGTACAACTGTTTCATTTAAACTACAACACCATAATGTGTTAAATTTTCCTTGATTCAACTCAATACAAACTCCCAATTTTTGTGCCTAGCAAAACTCTTTGAATGCGATGTTGAATTTGCAACAGCTGAACAACAGTGCTGGAGACAGATTGTACAATTGAGAGAATGTATGTCTTTTTATTTTTAAGTCTCGTGGTGCAGGGGTCCACAAATTTCTCATAAATTATAAATAATTCAAGACTTTAAAATGGCCACATCAGTCAAATCCAGGAATATTTTCTTCCGTTAATGCATGGTAGAATTCAGAATGTTTTGGAGCAAACAAAAAATTTTTCCACAGGCATCTACACCACCCATACATAAATTATACTCAATTATGGCTAAGGGCTTCAGTTTCATTTGATTGTTTTCTCCTCAATGACATCATTGCGAGCTGTTGTGAGGTGCAGTGCCAGCTTGTTTTTAAAAAACTTTTTTCTCACTAAAGGGCAAGACACAACACTTCTCCTTTGCGCCACAATTCGCCCTCACCCCCAAGTCACTTTTTGAGGACATGTTCCCTAGTAGTAGGTAGGCCTCTTAAATTTGCTCGCACTGTACTGATAGGCAATGTTTTTTTTTGTTCAACAGGAATTTCGTCCGAGCTGGTTTGGTGTAAAAATTGTACAGAAACAAGTGCTAGTGCTAGTTTATATTCGACAGCCTGGATACCTATATCAGTTGTGTAAAGATTGAAAAAGCTTTTAAATTGTCATAAAAATGCCAACATAAAGTTGTATATGTATTACTGTATGAAATATTTGAGTCACACAGTTGGAATTTTTTAATTCCGAATCTTGTATGTTGCTTGTTTTGAATATACATTCACCTATTCTTCACACCTATCATAGACACATTGATGGAAATATTCAAGGATGGCACAAAACAACTCTTCTCTTAAACAAATTGTTAATTTTTGGTCAGAGTCGGTCTCACTTTGCTCCAAGGGTCAAACCCTCGCCATCTCTTATCTTCTCTGAAGTGATGTCCTTGACATGAAGCATTTTGTGCATTATTAATGTGAACATCTTACAGCTCTTTGTGTCATTAATGTATGGTGTCATTTAAGCACTATGTCATTAGAGCTGGTGTGGTGGACTGATTTCAAACCTTTGTATCAGCCATAACACCACAGGCTGATTAGCAGCCTTTATGACATTCCTAGGGTTAATATAGAATTTCCTAACTTACTTCCCCTGTCGTCTTCTGCGTTCTTTCTTCTCAATGACCCAGTCACGGGATGATTTTACAGACTTCCTGAATCGCTCCCTGTGCGTGAGAAATCAAAATCTTAGCAACTATTTTTTCTTTGAACGAGGATTAAAAAAAAAAATAACACAATCAATGTCTTTTGGAAATGACCAGTCATCAACAAAAAAAAAAAAAAAAGATAAAATTTATAAATAAAAAAAAACGGGATGATTTTCCCGCCTTCCTGAATCGCTCCCTTTGGGGGAAAAATCAAAAACTTAACAACTATTTTTTTTTTGAAAGAGGATTAAAAAAAAAAAAACACAATCAATGTCTTTTGGAAATGGCCAGTCATCAACAAAAAAAAAAAAAAAAGATACAATTTATCAATACAAGTAAGGTGGAGCTAAACTTAATGCAGACAAAAGTAAAATGAAATATTTCAGCTAGGCCAAAGGCCTTCTTAAGTTAAACTTTGCAAATGCATATTTTAACCAATGGTTGAACAGTAATAATGAAAATTCATCCAGTGCTGAGACATCTTGTATGCTGCCAACATAAAGCAGAAGTAATGGAAACAAGGACCCCGGACATATAATCTGGAAATAAGGCTGCAGTATGAGGACTAATGTATGAACTCAAGCTTAACAGCATTTAAAAAATATAACATGTGTTGCTTAAACATAACCGTTGGACAAATTTCACTGCCATTTGACAAGCACGCTTTAAGGGAACACCACTGCAAAGAATAAGTTACCTTCTACCAGACATCTGTGCAACATTTGTGTTAGATTCCTCTGTGCCCAGTCCCTGGGGTAGCACTTGGGATGGACCACCGCAGAATAAACACAAAAATATTCTAGATAGATAATAAAAAAAAAAAAAAACAATTGATGAGGTGGCAAGTTGTAACACAAAATATTGAAATCAATTGCATTAAATAAATTCACTGGATTTACTGGCTACAAGCTTTTGGAAGACTTTTTACTTGCATCACTAACTGTGGATAGGAATGATGGAACACTCAACTTATATAGCACCAACAAAGCTGATGAGGAATTTCCTTTCTTTGTAAAGGCAGTAAAAAAAAAAATGAAGGGGAAATAATGTCGCATTTCAATGTCAGGTTAAAATGTACGCTAACACTATTTTAAATAAATTTTCATTTACAACTTCATGAACTAGTTTTTCACAGAATCTACATAACAGATAATTATTAATGGACATGTGGCATTTATTGATGAAAATGTACCGATAGTTCCATTAAGAATCTCTATTGAAAATTTATAAAAATCCATTTATAATTAGATTGGTAGAAGAAATTAAAGTGTGTTTGTAAAAGAAAGAGCTACCAAAAAAGCCACAGAATTGCATCTGGTTTAAATTAGGTGCCGTTAGTGTTAACAATTTACTTAGGCTAAATATTTTATATCCAAGTCTCTTTCTTTAAAGTATATTGGGCAAATAAATGAACACAATTCTTAACAATAAATTAACCCTTCAAACTAAATAGAAAATATCTCCAGCTATAATAACTCAAGTGTGGAATGGGTGTCCTGTTTATAGACAAAGTTAATCTCTCAAAGACAGGGTTTGAAAAGGTTTACTTTTTAGCCTTGGTACTGTTGGGGTAGTCAATGACCAGGCCTCCCGTGAAACCTGCTTTCATAGCTTGTTGGGTCAGAAGCTCCAACTGTGGAAGAGAAAAAGAGGACATTATTTTTCTATTTCTGTACACTGCCAATGTCTCCATTAGGCTTACCAGCCCTGAGACATCTTGTATACTGGCAGCACCTACACTGGCTTGACCAGTGCTGCTGATACACATTTTAATGCTAACGGCACCTATTCATAATAATCCATAATGCAAGATTGTAATCAACTTTAAAAAATGACATTTCAGATGAGATTTTTCAAAATCTATTGTTACATGCTGATACGGTGAAACTGATAACACTACACAGATGATTTTTAATGAGCTACAAGCATACATGGAAGCCTATTTCACCACTCAAGCTTATTATTGAAATGTTTACGAAAAATAACAAGTGCTATTTTCTCCCGTATTTTAGGGGAAATGATAAGTTGAAAATTGAAGAAAAATTACAATTTGCTTTTCCTAAAAATAAATAGTTTCTATGGATTAAATTCTGGGGAATAGCATGTATCCCTACTTAAGGACACAGCAGAAAACATAAGATGATCTAACAAAAATTGATCCAAAGGTGGTGGTTGTATGCAGCATGTATTATCTCCATCAAATGTTGCTGGGGCATTAACTCAGTTATTCACCTTAATGTTGAGACATCAGTACTGACAATTTAGCTGAGAGAATTGATGACAAGACTAAACAGCAACATATTTCAAAAAAAAAAAAAAATGTCAACTATTGTAGTGAATATGACAAGAGTGTTTTTTAAGCTTATTTACCTGTGCACCATTCTCAGGATACAACTGAAATATTGCCCTTGCTCCCCTGCCCTGCGAATAAAAGACCATGAAATTTATTGGTAAATGAGAAGAAGAAAAAAACCAATTAAAGTTAAAGATATTTTAAATAAATATAACATGATGATTTAGACGCAAAATATCGGGCATCAGATGTAACTTTTTTCTGTACAGCAATAAATTAATAAAATCAGCAAGAATTAAAAATATATGCTTTGAGTTAGTCTGTGATTATAACAGAGAAGGAAATGCTACTAGCTGCATTATAATAGAATAATAAAATGGTACTATTTAAAAAAAAAAAAAAAAAAAAAAAATTTTAAAATAAAAATAAAAAAAAAAAAAAAAAAAAAAAAAGGTAATATTTAAAAAAAAAAAAAAAAAAAGTAATTTTAAGATACACATAATAGAGTATCGTACAAAATGGAACTGTTATCAAATGAAAAAATATTGGTCTCTTTATAAAAGAATAGAAAATTGATCTACGATAAGAGTAAAGCCCTATTCCATTATAATATGATAAAACTGAGAATGCAAAAATCCTAATGGATCCTTACCATGACAGCATACAAGGTTCTGAAGAACACCAGCATCCTTTTGACTGGTGAATGACACTTTTTGTCTGCATTACACAACCACTGAAGGGCTGAAATACTGGGAAATGGCAGGTGGGTTGTGACACATTGAATTTTTACTGCAGTAACTTGAAGTAAGGAGAGGTTGGTTACAAAGCATGGCATAATTGTACATTATAACTTTAAAAATCTATTGACATTTCTGTATTTGCCCAGATTTTGGGTTAAACTGTGATGTCAGCAAATAATGTGGATTGTTACTAGGAAAGTGAGTTTAAGTATGATGGGTTGCTACGAGAGCAGTGAGTTTCAGTTTTATAGGTTATTACTTGGGCAATGAGTTTAATTTTGATGGGTTGTTACTAGAGCAGTGAGTTTCAGCATGATGTCAACAATATAATTTATTTATGTTCCAAGGGTAACACAATGGAAGAAGATGAAAACACATCTTATTGCATTTCAGTATTCAGCGTCCATACCTAACAACACCATCAAAAGTTCCTGGTCTGAAAGGAAGTCCATTTCCCATGTCGCCTAAAAGCAAGTCTCCCTCCACTTCCCTCTCGACAGCCACGTCTGTGAACATAGAAAAATGGGTGTTTTACTCGACTCTTCTTTTTTTTTTCCCCTCCAACTCCAAAATCATTTTTTTGCTTAATATAAATGATTTTAAGGTTCTGTTTGGTAAGAGAAACATGGTTTAGATTCTGATCATCAACAAGTTGTTGGAACCTGTGGCTACTATTTTAAAAAAAACCCAATAAAACAAACAGGAGGAATAGAAATGAAAACCACAATACATGGTAAAAAAAAAAGTGAGTGTGAAATGAAATCCTACCCAGCATGCTTGGACTGATGTCTATCCCAACCCAAGTATGATCATTATCAGTGAGAACTTCACCGCTCAACCCTGATCCACAGCTGAAAAATTGAAGAGGAAACAATCATCTCTTTTTACCATTACAAAAACTAAGCAAATTAAGAAAAACAATTTTTCAATAACACACACACAACAAAACTTCATTTCAGATCAAATTAAAAAGCTAACTTAAATAAAAAAATTGATAAACTAGTTTAAAAATAATGTATTTTAACCCACTTTGATAAGTACAATTTGTATTTGTATTGACTTATTTATATTAATGCAACACATTACAGTGACAGATTGTTTTGACTTGGAAACATATCCTGTGTTGTAAGATTAAAAAAAACTTAATAAACAAAACTGAAGCAGTTATCAGATAAAATCTACACATTAAAAAAGTTGTTGATTGCTTTGTTGAGAAAATGATGGTGAAGACAGGAATTTCAATCTCTTTTAATTTTAAATGCTGATAGTCTGATAGCAAATTTTAAAAATTCATTCAGTTCCCTATCCTACAGTAATAGTAAAGTACATTTCCCTAAAATCCATTTAAATTTAATGCCATGATAAGACTTTCAAACACAAAGTGTAGCATGCAGCTGACAGGTTCGAAAATTACCGTAATACAAAACATATCAAATATCTCTTTAAAAATATAATTTTTGTAAAAATAAAATTGAATAAAACAACATACCCGATGTCAAGTATGTAGCAAGGTACATCTTCAGGAAGTGCAAGAAGCTCCAACGCTCTCTCTGTCAACTTTTGTTGAATTTCTATCATACGGGAACTAAATTACAGAATAACATTTTCCTTTGATAAAAGTTAGGTCAATTATAACACACATTGATATTTTAATGTCCCAAAAATCCCTAACCCCACTACCCACAGAAAATTTAATTTTTAAAATATTTTTGTTGCTCCAGCGTCATTTTTATCTCACATGTAATTTATAGAATAAATTTCTGAAAGGATTGATAACCACACATACAGAGCCCTAACTAAAATACTTAATGCAACTATAAATTAAATTGATGTTGAAGAATTTTCTCAGTTATAGGCAGATTTTAACAACATTTTTAAAATGAAATTTGATTTTTTAACTTTAAATAATATTAATAATAATTTTTAAAAATTAAATAGGCTTTTTTTCTGGTTCTTCCCCCAACCCCCACAAAAAAAAAACAACAACAAACTTTCTCTAAATTTTGAACAGCTAACTTTTATAAAGATTAAAACATAATGTAGTTTAAAATATTTTAATCAATTTTTTGGACTTAACTTGGATTTTAACATACTGATTAAGTTAAGTAAAATAATATAAGAAAAATTAATTAAATCTTAATTAAATTCATTTAAAAGGATTTTAATACTTTTTCCCAGACTGTAACTGTAATTTCTTATTTTATTATTGTAATAAAAATGATTATGAATTATCATTTAATTAACTAAAAACAGTTTCAAAAAATTATAATCAACAACAGACATTCTTAAAATAATAATCGCTATCTAATGTATATGAATACGATTTTTACTTCAGTTTCAGACATTCAAATTATCAATGTCAAAGAAAGTAATTCGTCAGTGTCAATCAATTCCACCTAATTAAATAATTTGAATAGAAAAACTAATTTTCCAGCTGTCTATACCCCACAATTAGTCTAATTTCTAAATAAGTTCATTTAAAATATCTCAACCCTAGTTATAGGGATATATTTTCATTATTTATTCAGATTGTTAATTAAGTTTTAAGCTTTTAAAAAGAGGTTGCTCTTAAAAATTTGTATCGTCTTTGTCATTGTCTAAAGGAAAAAAAAAAATTTACTTATTTCTGTATGATACTGGCTAATGAAACCTTTTATGGTGATAAAAATAACAGTTGGTTATGCTACTTAAATTAAGGATGAGAGACTCACTTGCTTGTGTATTTGGACGCTTCTGTTTCATTGTAAAACTGAAATAAAAGAATGTAAGAAACAGATCTTAATAAATCAATATTTTTAAAGATAAAGTACCTCAAACTGCTTGTCAAGCAAAGGGAAAATCAAATAGTTATTTCATTATCAATAAAGCTGCTTGAACTGCTACAAAAATTTATTTTAAATAAATCAAATTTTTCTTCCACACTCAAGAATTTAAGATTTTAAGTAGTTCCTAGTGATGTGTAAATATGGCTACTCTATCAAATTCTGCTGTTAACTGTTAGCAAAGCCAGAGGTGTTGTTTCTTCAATCAGTCATACTAACAATTATTTATTCTTATTCCATCTGTAACAATAATGCAGCTTAATTGCAGATTCATTTTTAATTAGTGTTAGTACCTACAATATAATGCACATTTAACAGCAAAATAGACTGTATTGTTTAAAAAAATTTGATAAGGCCTAACTGACATCTGCAGATTAATTGATTTGTTATAAAGACAACTTATACACAATTTTGAATTAAAATTCCAATTTTTTTTTTTATTAACTTAGATTATAGATTGTTAGATGACAAGGTTCAGTTCACCCTATTTTGTAAACTCACATTTCAACCAACACAACCTAATTTAAAAAAAAAAATGAAATAAAAAATAACTTTTTTTTTGTAAGGGCCAGATTTGAAATTAAACTCTTTAACCCTTCCTTAAGTTATATGATATAAACCTGATGTTGTAATAACTTATTTTACTTTTAGCTTTTGAAATTCATTTAGCATATTCACATTCATATTGGGACAGGCTACATTCTGAGAATGGGATTACTCAAGCCAAAGGGGAATTGAAAGATATAAACCAAACACACCTTTCTTTAAAATGTGTTAAATTAAGTTAAATGCCTTTAAAACCAGGTTGCTTTTGGGTTAGCCGTAAGGCCTGTGATGTGTTCCACTGAATATAGATCATGGAGGTTCCCTCAGGTCAACTTCTATCTACAGCGCCGTATGCAAAAGATTTCAATATTTGTGTTCACTTAAGGCAAGATTTTTTCTTCTTATTTTATATTTTTGAAATTCGGGTGAGGGGTTCTGGGGAGGGGTCCCCCCTCCACAGAAGATTTCTTTGTTTCTTATTTTGGTGATTGGGGGGTGGGGATGTCCCCTCCCCAGTCCAGAGAAGATCATTCCAATACAATTTAAGCAGGAGTCTCCTTTTTGTTACAGAAGTTTCAACATAGGAGTAATTCAATTTTCAACTAATCAAAGTCAAAAGACAGCACTTTTTTTTCACCAGTGTTGGGTCTTGGGATATCAAGTGTCTGTGTCTTTTTTATCTCTTTTGAAACTAGTAAGTTGTATTTTAATAAAAATTAATGGAAAAGTTCTTTTTAATATACTTATTTATACTTATATTAACTGATTCGATAGTCAGATTTAGTTTATGACGCGAGTAATGCTCAGTGTAAAGAACAGGAAAGTTATTTATTACACACATTGTTCAGGTACTACACCTACAGTTGGTCTATTCTCCCTAGTCCAGAGTAGGGTGAGGCAACTCTTGGCAAAAGCCATAACATTGGTGACATTGCTGTTAACCCAAATTTACCCCTACGCCTTTAAATTTAAAGTTTAAAAACTTGAATAATATTGAAGTTACGTCATTTTGTAAAATTTGCGATTGTTAGTAAGAGTTAAGATAATAGATAGGCCTACTCAGAATCTCAGTAGTCTAATAGTTCATTTAATTTTTGTTTACCATGTTGCCACTGCCATGTTTTATTCTTGTTTATTGACAAGTTCATTGTTACACTGGACATCATTCAAATAAAATGACAAGGCTATCGTAAGATCGTGTTTAGTCTTAACCCCTTTCGGAATGAAGGCATGCCTATTCTCCACCCCTTAAAAATAGATTAGTCTACAGGTGTTCCTTGACTTTTCCCTCAACTTACAATCTCTGGTGGAGCCTGGTGCTCAGGCCGTCCGGAGGCTGCCATTTTGTTTACGGAGTCGTTTTACCGAGTTCGTAAACTTATGTACCTAAGTTGCAAATACGGCAGTAAAAGCCTTGACAAAATAAGGAGCTTTTAAAAATATTTTTATAGCACTCTTGTTAAGAATTACAATGTTAATTAAAGGGCTTTCATAATCGTCTTTACTTTGGGTTTGCACAAAGCATTTTGTGTAAAATTAAAATCCCATACGCTCACATTTGGTTAAACTGTAAAGATATATAAAGAAGCCGCATTGTAATTATAGTGTAGAATTTTTGCAATAGAAACAACTTTAGTCTCGTTTCATATCACAGACCCCGCAGCAGCAGGGTTTGCAGTGCCCATGCGTTAGCTCTACCTGGGATTTTAGTTGTGAAGTGTTATCATTTAGGTTAAACAATTAAAAAATGTAATGATTTAATTCTGCGATAAAGACTATTAAACAATTATTGCTCATTGTTATATCACGATATGAGGGTAATTAAACAAAAATTCTATATGTTTCAGTTTCAGAATGTTTTCATAAACATATAACTACCCATTTTAGAACTAACCAACGTCCACTCTCATTTTTGAAAAGAAAATACATAACAAGATTTTTCAAAAATGAAATAGAATTTTTTTAAATCTAATTTTTACATGTGTGGAAGTCACAAGCTCTCGGGATCGCAAATTAAGCTCCGGCTTTTAGAAAGAAAAACGCACTAGAAAACGTAGCTTAAAGTATCTTACGTTTACCACCGTGATAAAAGTATTTACAGTTTATTCAAAACAATCTTCGGAAAATTTGAAAAATTAATGTTTAATGCGAAAAAATATTATTATCTCCTGAAATTAAATTCTTCTTAATTAAACAAAATCAATGTATACAATTATGTTATATTTATAAATTGCACGGAATATGTTTTGAAATTTTGGGATAGTAAAATCCATTTTTTAAAGTGTTACAGTGATGATTGGCCCAAAGAAAGTTGATAAAATAAAATAACTAATAAAACTCGTCTGCTAGCTAATTTTTAGTCCATCCATTCAGGTCCATTGTCGTTGCTATTGTTTGAATAATCTTAACATAAAAACAGTTATTTTAAATTTTTTACGTTGTAGCGATTTAAGTACTACTACATCTAAACTGAATAAGCACAGAATCATGCAACCTTTTAGTGTCTCGGTGAGATAAGAAATATTTTTTAATGGACTAAAGTCTAAGGTAAGATAGGAACCAACCAACTAGCATAAAGTTTAGACAGTCATAGTCATAGAGAAATATTATATTCTCTGTGAACAAAAAATAGTCTATTAATATCACCGATTAGTCACAGTAGTCACACGATATCACGGAATGAGTGAGCACTAAACAACACGTAACATTTACCAACAATTTATCAATAGATTGAATAAGTTATGCAGGAATATATATGTATACATTTTTTAATTTAAATTGATAACTTTATAAATGCTAATACTAATAAATACACATTTTTAAATGTAAGTTGGCTACAAATTATTAGAGAAATAAAAAAAAAAAAAAGAAATTGAATAAACAAATATGCACAAGAAACTCGATCAGGTTATAAATCATTTGCTCTTATTTTCCACTTGCGTTATAAATTTTTTTTGCGTATCTCGTGACACAGGAGCTTTGCAAAATTAGGGTTGTGGGAAAAATCACTAGAGAAATGTTGTAATTTTAAGTGTACAAACACAGATGCGTTACAGTTCAACAGCAAGCCATGTTAAATACTTCGTTCTTGGGTTGGGTAAGGAAATCTCTCTCTTTTTTTTTCCTTCTTCTTTTTTTACCCCTGTTGATTGCAGGTAATCACATCCAAGGTATGTTTAATTGTTTTTCTGAGCATCCACATTTGGGCAAGGTATTTGCGTCTCAATTGAACTTGTTATGTATATATATATATATATATATATATATATA